ACATTATCCAACTTTGCCTTATCATCATCTCCTTTTAATTATTAATTATCTAATATTAAATAAAAAGAACATTTTTCCATTTATTTTAATGCCATTTCAGCATAAAATTTAGAAATACATAAATTCTATGCTATTTAATCATTTTGATCATCATATAATAAGATCATAGGAAAATTTAATAAATAATAAATATTTCCTTAATCTTCTACTTTGACTAATTTATAGTATTTATTAACTTAAATGACTTATTTGGTTAAAAAATGAGCATAGAAATTATGAAATTATTATCCAAATTCTCCCAAAAAGATAAACACAGTGCTTTTTTATGGAATTTAAGGGAATTTATCTTTTATTTGATTATTAATATTTTCAAAATAATTATGAATATTTATGATAGTTTGAACAAGTGGTGATTGTTGTGCTTCATTTGGTTATTATTAATCCATATTTTTTTTATATTATAATTACTTTAGATAGAGACATAGTCATTTAAATAGTCACTTTATTTCTATTATTTTTAATATGGAAGCGTTTTTTTTGTTGAGTAGTATTTATAAAAATGAATTTTCATTAATGAAAATCAACAATATGAATTCCATAAAATAAAATATGGATTGTCGAACAATGATAATACTAAAATATATTATTAATATTTGTTTAAATGTTCATCTTCTTCTTTATTTCCAAAATATATATTTAATTACAATAGAAACATTCCTGATCCTAATAACCTTTTAATTTTGAGAATAAAATTTGTATTCTTCTGAAAGGTATGAATATTATACTTTATGTACTATTTAAATTTTATGGAATTTCATAAAAAACATTATAAAATCAAATTCATGACTTAAATATTGAGGTATAAATAACAATTAAATACGAATAGTTAAAAATATGACTGCTGCAAAGGAAAAATGTTTGCGATATGATCAAAGATTGAAATTTTTAAGTACTTAAAAAAATCAGAAAAAGGAGATCTATCAACTTTTTAAGCATAGAATAATAGATGATTGAAATATATGAAAAAAGGGTTTTATGAATGTTAGGGAATAAAAAGAAAAATGAAGATGTTCAAACTCCCATAAAAAGAAATTTTAAAAAATAAAAAACTATAGATGATCAAATATATTGACATATATAGAGTTTCTTTTTAAATCATGGTTCCTGATGTTTGTTATCATTTATTAAACATATTTAAAATCAATAGAAAATTTTATAAATAGCCAATAACAATTTATAGAGAATCTATTAGTACTTATATGCATTATTTTAATTACTTAACTAAATAGGATAATAATTTTTCTTTAATAGGCTTTTAATAATCTCGACCTTTGATACTCAATCAACATCAATTTTAAGACATAATTCAAATAATTTATTTATAAAATATATATATAATTATCTAAATAAATTACACATAGAAATATTTAAATATAAATAATTTATGAGGCCTAATCATCCTTATACAATAACATTTCCTATATGGTAATGTGATCAATGGACTGCATTTAGAGGACGTCTGAAACTATCTGACAAATAAGTTATTATAGCAAGATGGAATAATACTATGTATTTAGATGAAGAATTAGCATTTTTTGATTCACAACATCGAATTAAACCATAAAAGGATATTATAATGCTCAAACCATAAATTAGTTTACTTCCTTCAATATTATAGATAGTTAGAACTAATACATACACAGATGTCTTAATTGAGAATGTTTCTTAGTGGTTTTTAACTACTGGGAATCTCTCTAAATTATTGCTAATATATTTTGCATATGATCTTTATACTGGATGTTCTCCACGTGATTGCACCTTAGAGAATATAATTAAAAATGATGATTCTATTGTTATTTTAGATTTCGGTTTGAGAAAGCGAACAGAAAAATACTGTGTCTATTGGAATCCCTTAATTCTTAAGGGTAAGTCTTGTAGATCATCTTATTAATGGTCTCTAGGAATTATATACTTAGTTATGACTTAAGGGACATAAATTCTTAATGAGATATAAAAGCACATAACTGCATGGTTAAAAGGAGGAAGATTGAACATTGAATTTTTGATAACCAATAAAAAGTAATCAGTCCAAAATTTAATATCCTCTCTTTTAGATCTAGAGAATCCAATACCTTGGGATTAAATCCCAAATCATCCAGCCTTTAGGGAAGATATTGCTTGTCAATAAATTCTCAAAGAGTTTTAAGGCAAATCAATTAAAACTGAAGTAAAAAGTAGATCTTCATCAAGAACAAATAGTAGAGATGAAAATAGCAATTAAATTAGTATTATGCCTTGCCCTTATGGATTAAAGAATCCAATAATTAGTGATTAAAATATAATTAATCAATCTCTAATAACAAAGGTTAGTAATTTGTAAAAGGCTCATCAAGATAAAGTACGTAATGCTTTGGGCAATATGTATTCATCTATATTAAATAGACATACATCAACATCTTAATAAAACAGGTAAATAACCTAAACAAATAATAGTCCAAACAAGTATAATAACTTTTTTAACTCTACAAAAATATTACCTAAATCTAAAACAAAACCATAGAACCTTGGATTCAAAACTTTTAGGAATTAAAATTAAGTTANAATAAAAAACTATAGATGATCAAATATATTGACATATATAGAGTTTCTTTTTAAATCATGGTTCCTGATGTTTGTTATCATTTATTAAACATATTTAAAATCAATAGAAAATTTTATAAATAGCCAATAACAATTTATAGAGAATCTATTAGTACTTATATGCATTATTTTAATTACTTAACTAAATAGGATAATAATTTTTCTTTAATAGGCTTTTAATAATCTCGACCTTTGATACTCAATCAACATCAATTTTAAGACATAATTCAAATAATTTATTTATAAAATATATATATAATTATCTAAATAAATTACACATAGAAATATTTAAATATAAATAATTTATGAGGCCTAATCATCCTTATACAATAACATTTCCTATATGGTAATGTGATCAATGGACTGCATTTAGAGGACGTCTGAAACTATCTGACAAATAAGTTATTATAGCAAGATGGAATAATACTATGTATTTAGATGAAGAATTAGCATTTTTTGATTCACAACATCGAATTAAACCATAAAAGGATATTATAATGCTCAAACCATAAATTAGTTTACTTCCTTCAATATTATAGATAGTTAGAACTAATACATACACAGATGTCTTAATTGAGAATGTTTCTTAGTGGTTTTTAACTACTGGGAATCTCTCTAAATTATTGCTAATATATTTTGCATATGATCTTTATACTGGATGTTCTCCACGTGATTGCACCTTAGAGAATATAATTAAAAATGATGATTCTATTGTTATTTTAGATTTCGGTTTGAGAAAGCGAACAGAAAAATACTGTGTCTATTGGAATCCCTTAATTCTTAAGGGTAAGTCTTGTAGATCATCTTATTAATGGTCTCTAGGAATTATATACTTAGTTATGACTTAAGGGACATAAATTCTTAATGAGATATAAAAGCACATAACTGCATGGTTAAAAGGAGGAAGATTGAACATTGAATTTTTGATAACCAATAAAAAGTAATCAGTCCAAAATTTAATATCCTCTCTTTTAGATCTAGAGAATCCAATACCTTGGGATTAAATCCCAAATCATCCAGCCTTTAGGGAAGATATTGCTTGTCAATAAATTCTCAAAGAGTTTTAAGGCAAATCAATTAAAACTGAAGTAAAAAGTAGATCTTCATCAAGAACAAATAGTAGAGATGAAAATAGCAATTAAATTAGTATTATGCCTTGCCCTTATGGATTAAAGAATCCAATAATTAGTGATTAAAATATAATTAATCAATCTCTAATAACAAAGGTTAGTAATTTGTAAAAGGCTCATCAAGATAAAGTACGTAATGCTTTGGGCAATATGTATTCATCTATATTAAATAGACATACATCAACATCTTAATAAAACAGGTAAATAACCTAAACAAATAATAGTCCAAACAAGTATAATAACTTTTTTAACTCTACAAAAATATTACCTAAATCTAAAACAAAACCATAGAACCTTGGATTCAAAACTTTTAGGAATTAAAATTAAGTTAGTACTTAAAATGTAGATTTAGATTCTAAACGATAATCTAGCGATATTACAATTGAAAATATCGTTTAGCCTACTTAAAATTAAGATTCTTTTAATGATAATATGAGATTGAGGGTTTCTTCAGTTAAAGTAGACACAGTCAGATAATAAAAACCAAGAAAGGGTTCCACACACTCAGTTTTGCTTGAAGAACCTAAATAATAACAAAAAAATCATCAAAATCAAGTTTCCAAGAATTAAAAGGAAGTTTAATAAATTTATTAGTAATAAGAAATTTTAAAGGTTGAAGAAGAAAAAAAAATTATTAAGCATTAAGTTTTAGATTAATAATAATAGCATTAATAATTATTATAAATTTAATAATCTAAATTGCAATCTTAACAATAATAATAATCTTAACCATAAATGTTAGGGAATTATGATGCTGAAAATAATATTTAATTAAAAAAAAGGAATAATACATAATTTTAATAAAAGTATAATAGATCTTTAGAAGCTATCAATGTGATTGGCTAAACAGTAGCAAAATGCTTAACTTTCTTTAATGCATTATAAAATTTTTGGGTTATTCCTTTATTTTTAGTGTTTAAGCGCATGCTATAATTAAGAAAGTAGATTGAGAATTTATTGTCTTAAAAGGTTAATTCCTTTAATATTAATGATTGGGAAGAGATTACATCAAGTACAGAATTTGAAAACTATTTGAATAAAGTTAAGTAAGAAAACTAACTTGTATAATCAGAATTAAGTATATTGTTAAATTCAGCTAAAGCGAAAGCAGAAAAATTAGATAAATCCAGAAGAGATAAAGTTGAATGGTTTATAAATGATGATCTGAATGATAAAATAAAGGATGTTTGTAATACTTATTTTCATGGGTAGATTTACAAGAATATTAAAGACAAAAAGGGGATAGCTAAATCAAATATAGAGTGGCTAAAGTTACAAATCTAGGCTTAAGCTTCTATTATCATAAGTGAATTACCTGTTTTAACTTGTGATAAAGAAAACTTTACCTATGAAGATTACTTATCTGCTCTTGAATTAACAGATGAAGATTAAATTTAATAATACTTAAATAAAAATGAGCATTATCTCGAACATAAATGAAACTAAATTGTTAGTTTAATAATTATATTCATTTATATTGAATTTAAATATTAGAGACTTCTTGAAATTTTGGTGAACTATATTTTCTTTATATTGCTTATAATGACATAACTTTTGCTTAGCATAATTATTAACAAATTTCTTTTGCCACTATCCTTATTTGATTCTCATTATATTGTGAATGTATTTCTAAATAAGTAGGCCAGCAATTTTAAGATCTATTTAATATATTTGGTTTTTAAATACTTTTTATAAATTTTTTATACTAAATATAATACACTGGCTGCTTATAAACTAGGGTTGTATTAAATAAATTTATGATCCAACAACATTAATTCTAGAATATATTTTCCTAATTAATATGACTTTTAATCAAGTTAAATTAATTATTAATATCTATCATAGAATTAATGTTGATTTGTAAAACAAATTTCAAATTGTAATTGCATTAAAATTTTACCCTCCATTTCTAAAATTTCTTCTTTTGTATAGGTTTTATCTGTTACATCTGAGTAATAATTTAATTTAGGAGGATAGATTTCACAATATTTGGATGCAATGAACAAAGCAGATACTCCAAGTAATTGAAATTTATTTCTTTATATTTGAATTTATTATAGATATGCATCAATAATGTATATAGTTAAGTATAATGTATCTGAAACCAAATTAAATCTGTAATGAACATCTACTAGCCAATCTATGAGTATTGCTCTCATTTTATAATTAATCTCTATTTATTTATCAATATAAGTATGATCAAGTGCTTTGTCCTTACTTCTACAATATTTATAGATATCTTTAGCATAAACAGACACTAATTAGGGATTGTTATTATTCTTATTGTCAATTAAATCTAATTCATCAAATTTTATTCTTTGAGTTTAAGATTATGATTTACTTTATCTAAAATTAGATAAATCCTTTCCAAAACATCTCTCCCCCATACTTAGACGAGGGACTCTACTTTTTTATCCCATTTCATTTTCATCGATATATTGCATTTAGAAATTTGAATAAATTAATATTACAGTTAATAATTATATTGATATATGCTCTTTAATAATTTTATCAAATTTAATCAAATAAAATAAATCAATCAAACGTTTTAATGATAATATGAGTCATGAAATATTTGTATTTCATCAACTAAGTATTTGTTTGCAATGAATTCAGGGAAACTCTATGTTTCAGAAGTGAATTCTTTTTGATATTTAATTAAAAAACCAAGTATTTTTATTCCATCTAACAACCCTAATTTACCACTTTTCTTTTTATATGATTCATGTTGACATTTCTATAAAAATTCAAGACAATATCGATTATCTAAAGATTTTTCACTTTGAATCAAATTTAAAATCTTTTCGTTATTTGAATTAATAATTGATTTGACAGCATTTATCATTGAAACAACTAAATCATTATTGTCTTTTTTTCTTTTACAAATTTTATTATTATGCCAAAATTACATAATAGGAAACAATGTATCATCAATTAAAGTTAGTTTCATATCATAAGATAATCCAATTAATTATTTTATTTATTCGAAATGTTTCTCTAAAGTGTTGAATCTTTTTTTTAAATGAGCTTCCATCAATGTTAATAGAATTAAATATTTTTCATTTTACTTTTTCTCAAAATCTTAAGATTTTGGGTCTAATTAACAACATCCAATAAATATTATCAGCGTAAAAAGAAGACTATTTCTATATTCTTATAGAAATGATTTTTCATTTATTAAATTGTCTAAAAACAATTAATATTATAATTACCTAATGCTTATTTATATAAATTGTTTTGAGGTTAAATTTTCACTGCTTCTTCAAAAGAATTTTTGGCTTCATCCAATAATTTATCTTATTTGTATACATTTCCAAGTTAATAATGTGCTTCAGCATTATTAGGATTAATTTTAATGCAATTTAAATAATTTTCAATAGCTTCATCAAACTTCAATAAAAATAGATTAGCTTATCCCATCTATATTATTATGAAATGATTACAATTTAGTAAACCTTCTCTAAATTGTCTTTTCCTGTTTTGACATAGATATTTAAATGATTTAATGCATTGAAATAATCCTTTTTTTCATTGTAACATATTCCAAGATAATAATCTAAATTTTATGCTTATTCGCTTTTGTTTAACTAAATAAACATATAAAATGATTCACTAAAATTATTTAAATTAAACAATATCAAACCTAATTAATTATATTAATTTAAACCTTTTTCATATAAGCAACTCTCATTTTAAGGTTGAATATTCAAAATCTTATCATAAGTTTCTAACGCTTATTACAGATTCTTTGTAATTTTATAAATTAAAGCTAACAAATTTAAAATTTCTATATTTTAAGGAAATTTAATAATTCCATCATTCAAACAAATAATGGCATCATCATATTTTTTCTATGCCTAAAGTAACTTACCTGAATATTAAATTTTATATACCTCTAATAATAAATATCTTTGGATCATCCTAATTTGATTATGAATATAAATATTCATAAATCTCAGATGCTTCTTGAATTCTATCAAACTTAATCAAAATAGAGGCTAAAATATATATTAAAAAAATTGACCTTTCTTTTCCAATAAATCAAAGTCTTTTTCTTAAGCAAGTATTTCATCGTAGCAAATCAAGACTTCTTCATTTTTGTTCATGTATTCTAAAATTTTCACTATATTTCGTTAAGATTAATTCTTATACCCTTTTATTTTAATGAATCAATATCATTTGGTTTAATACTGAGAATTTAATTCAATGTTAAAAGAGAGCCTGCTTATTATTTTAATTGAATTTATATTTGAGCTTTTAATTTTAAAGCTTCTAAATTAGCAGGATTCTTTTCCAATATTTAATTTAAATGACTCAACGCTTAAGAGTACTTTTTTTCTCCTTGTAACTTCTAAACTAAAATCTTAGTATTTTATTATACCTTCTCTTATTTAATCCTCCACACTCATTAAAACTTCTGGAATTTTTGATTACTTTTAAGAATTTTGTTGAATTTTTCTTTTGCAATTTAATGCGAATTAATTTTAGTCATTTAATTTTAAAATTTAATCACAAACTTCTTCTAGTTTATCATATTGTTATGATTAACGATATATGTATGCTGAATAATGTAAATATTAATTAACCTTATGTCTAATACCCATCAATATAATTTTAATCAATTTTTAAGGCATTTTATATTGTATTCAAAGCGATATCAAATTATTTTAAATCTGAAAGAGTAGTTGCTTTACTAACATAATAATGTTTTTAAGTGTTATCTAATTATATCGCCATATCAAAATAACGAATAGCATCATCTTTTCTTTCTAATCTTGATAAAACATAACCTCAAAATTTGATTATAACATACCTAAACCATAATTNTTCTCTAAATTGTCTTTTCCTGTTTTGACATAGATATTTAAATGATTTAATGCATTGAAATAATCCTTTTTTTCATTGTAACATATTCCAAGATAATAATCTAAATTTTATGCTTATTCGCTTTTGTTTAACTAAATAAACATATAAAATGATTCACTAAAATTATTTAAATTAAACAATATCAAACCTAATTAATTATATTAATTTAAACCTTTTTCATATAAGCAACTCTCATTTTAAGGTTGAATATTCAAAATCTTATCATAAGTTTCTAACGCTTATTACAGATTCTTTGTAATTTTATAAATTAAAGCTAACAAATTTAAAATTTCTATATTTTAAGGAAATTTAATAATTCCATCATTCAAACAAATAATGGCATCATCATATTTTTTCTATGCCTAAAGTAACTTACCTGAATATTAAATTTTATATACCTCTAATAATAAATATCTTTGGATCATCCTAATTTGATTATGAATATAAATATTCATAAATCTCAGATGCTTCTTGAATTCTATCAAACTTAATCAAAATAGAGGCTAAAATATATATTAAAAAAATTGACCTTTCTTTTCCAATAAATCAAAGTCTTTTTCTTAAGCAAGTATTTCATCGTAGCAAATCAAGACTTCTTCATTTTTGTTCATGTATTCTAAAATTTTCACTATATTTCGTTAAGATTAATTCTTATACCCTTTTATTTTAATGAATCAATATCATTTGGTTTAATACTGAGAATTTAATTCAATGTTAAAAGAGAGCCTGCTTATTATTTTAATTGAATTTATATTTGAGCTTTTAATTTTAAAGCTTCTAAATTAGCAGGATTCTTTTCCAATATTTAATTTAAATGACTCAACGCTTAAGAGTACTTTTTTTCTCCTTGTAACTTCTAAACTAAAATCTTAGTATTTTATTATACCTTCTCTTATTTAATCCTCCACACTCATTAAAACTTCTGGAATTTTTGATTACTTTTAAGAATTTTGTTGAATTTTTCTTTTGCAATTTAATGCGAATTAATTTTAGTCATTTAATTTTAAAATTTAATCACAAACTTCTTCTAGTTTATCATATTGTTATGATTAACGATATATGTATGCTGAATAATGTAAATATTAATTAACCTTATGTCTAATACCCATCAATATAATTTTAATCAATTTTTAAGGCATTTTATATTGTATTCAAAGCGATATCAAATTATTTTAAATCTGAAAGAGTAGTTGCTTTACTAACATAATAATGTTTTTAAGTGTTATCTAATTATATCGCCATATCAAAATAACGAATAGCATCATCTTTTCTTTCTAATCTTGATAAAACATAACCTCAAAATTTGATTATAACATACCTAAACCATAATTTAAGTCTGGTATATTAGGATTAGCCTGAAATCCTTTCTCTAAATAAATTAAGGCTTCTTTATATTATTTCTCATTTATCATTAAGCTAGCTAATTTATAAAATATAAGTGTAAACCTATTTCATTGAGAGAAAGAGCGTGATTTGGTTATTTCTCGAGAGTAAGTTAGAAAAATTTTTTTGCACCTTCAAAGTTCCTTTTATCCAATTCAACAATACCTACGAAAAAGTCAATAATTTACCTTTAGAATAATAAGCATCATTGAAATCAGGATCGGTTTCTAAAATTCGATCTAACAACTTTGTTGCTTATTCATACTTCTCATTTTTAATGAGATAATTGGCTAATTAATATTTTTTATGGAAAAACCTCTTCTGTATAATTTAGCGATTTCAGTCTGGCTTAATGAAACTGAGCTGGGAGTTCTTGAATGAATTTTAGAGGATTTTATTTATTCTGTTTCTTATACTTCACTTGGTTTAGCAGACCCACATCCCATTAATTAATAATAATAAAAATGATTAATTTCAAGATTATCCTGGAGAGTGATTAAAACTAGTAAGAAAAAATCAAGTTTTAATAAACTAATATTATTTTAAAATGATGTTTGGAATAATCAAAGTTTTTATTCTAATACTGGGAAAGAAGGAGCAGCACAGATACCGCAAGTATCACCTCCGGCAAGTCTAATATGACCAGCTTCTCCCCAAGTTGCTCCCCATGAATTTCTAATTTTCCAAACTCCATCAGCTAAGACACCAACAACGACGACTCCATGATTTAAGTTTTTAGTACATTTGGACAGGACACCACTTCCTATAAAATTAAATTTAAATAATTACTATAGAATTACCAAGGATTGGCATCAACAGCAACAGCAACTACTCTATCTTAGATTGTTTCAGCTAATTCATTGCATGAATCAATATCTTTGAATCCTACAACATGTTTGAATGATCTCTTAACTGAAGTCTTGCAGACTCCATCCTTAGCAGTGTATGGATAATCTTTAGCTTCAGCTAAACCGTTATCAGCTACATATTCATAAGCAGAATCCATCCAACCACCATTGCATCCTTAATTGTCATAAGGACCTGAGCAGTCAACCAAATCTTATTCAGATAAGTCATATTTTCTGCTAAGTTCAATTAAAGCATTAATTTCAAGTGTTGCAACTGCAGCAAATGCCCAGCATGAACCACATGATCCTTAGTTCTTAATGGCAGGGTATTTAATTTAGGATCCATCTGTCCAATCTATTTCTGCACCTTTGTATTAAAAGTTATCATTGGCAGCATTAACCTTGGCTGTCTTTGGAACTCTTAAATTCAAATAAGTTGAAGCGAATTCTTATTAGCTCATATCAGCAAATTGATTCAATTCTAAAGTGTATGTTTTGTCTTCTGGACTTTGATTGAAAGCCCTGATGTAATTAAGGTTGTCTGTGAAAGCCTTGAATCTGTACATTTCATCTCTTTGGTTTGTATATCTTTTGTTATATTTCATCTTCCAATTTGTATAAAGATTTGCTGTATCAATTTCATCAGATAATTCTTAAGTGTTGTTCAAATAGATGCTGGCGCCCAATAACATCATCAAACCGACTGCTAATAATGTTTTCTCCATATTAAATATATATTAATCTAATTATAACTATTAATGGCATAAATATTATTAAACGATGACGTAATTATCTCTTCCTTAATCATTTATATAAATTCAATTAAATAATTGATTATATTTTTATTATTTTCAATTTATTAAATTATTCTATTAATCCATTTATAATAATATTTATTTACAAAGGTTTATTTTATCTGCAGAGCTTAACAAATAATATCTATATTATTATTTTAGATAATTAAAATTATTCTTTTTGATAAGATGACTTTTATTTATTACATAAAGAATAAAACCTATTTTATTTATTTGGATATCAATTAACTTCAAAAATTCTCATTAATATTGTTTTTATACAATTAGAAAATAATTGAATATTTAATAATTTATAAAAATTTATGCATTCATCTGATGTAATCTTTAATAATTTTGTTATATATCCAATCCAGTCATTAATTATTAATCGATAAATACAAAAACTTTTGTTTTTTTTATTGATTTTTTAAAAAATATAAAATAACATTTATCAAACATGATAAAAATGCTTTCGTAAAGCACTCATTAATTTTTAATGATCCAAAAATTTCTCTTAAAATGTTTAGAGTTAAACATAGCAAAATACTTTTCACAGGAATAACCATAATACTACAAAGAAAATATAGTTTTGAGAAACTTAAAAACCATAAAGTTTAACTTCCTTCTAATAAATTTATATTAAAATCATTTTTATAATGTCATTTTCTAATATTGCTCATATTAGAATAATACTTTTAAACCCTATTCCCTATCATTGATTCCTAACTTTAATATATAAGTTACTAGAGTGATTATTTTTAATCGAATAAGACTTTTTAATCGAAAAAAATAAAAGTACAAGTAGTAAATTAAGAAATTTAAAATTAATTAATATAAAANCCCAGCATGAACCACATGATCCTTAGTTCTTAATGGCAGGGTATTTAATTTAGGATCCATCTGTCCAATCTATTTCTGCACCTTTGTATTAAAAGTTATCATTGGCAGCATTAACCTTGGCTGTCTTTGGAACTCTTAAATTCAAATAAGTTGAAGCGAATTCTTATTAGCTCATATCAGCAAATTGATTCAATTCTAAAGTGTATGTTTTGTCTTCTGGACTTTGATTGAAAGCCCTGATGTAATTAAGGTTGTCTGTGAAAGCCTTGAATCTGTACATTTCATCTCTTTGGTTTGTATATCTTTTGTTATATTTCATCTTCCAATTTGTATAAAGATTTGCTGTATCAATTTCATCAGATAATTCTTAAGTGTTGTTCAAATAGATGCTGGCGCCCAATAACATCATCAAACCGACTGCTAATAATGTTTTCTCCATATTAAATATATATTAATCTAATTATAACTATTAATGGCATAAATATTATTAAACGATGACGTAATTATCTCTTCCTTAATCATTTATATAAATTCAATTAAATAATTGATTATATTTTTATTATTTTCAATTTATTAAATTATTCTATTAATCCATTTATAATAATATTTATTTACAAAGGTTTATTTTATCTGCAGAGCTTAACAAATAATATCTATATTATTATTTTAGATAATTAAAATTATTCTTTTTGATAAGATGACTTTTATTTATTACATAAAGAATAAAACCTATTTTATTTATTTGGATATCAATTAACTTCAAAAATTCTCATTAATATTGTTTTTATACAATTAGAAAATAATTGAATATTTAATAATTTATAAAAATTTATGCATTCATCTGATGTAATCTTTAATAATTTTGTTATATATCCAATCCAGTCATTAATTATTAATCGATAAATACAAAAACTTTTGTTTTTTTTATTGATTTTTTAAAAAATATAAAATAACATTTATCAAACATGATAAAAATGCTTTCGTAAAGCACTCATTAATTTTTAATGATCCAAAAATTTCTCTTAAAATGTTTAGAGTTAAACATAGCAAAATACTTTTCACAGGAATAACCATAATACTACAAAGAAAATATAGTTTTGAGAAACTTAAAAACCATAAAGTTTAACTTCCTTCTAATAAATTTATATTAAAATCATTTTTATAATGTCATTTTCTAATATTGCTCATATTAGAATAATACTTTTAAACCCTATTCCCTATCATTGATTCCTAACTTTAATATATAAGTTACTAGAGTGATTATTTTTAATCGAATAAGACTTTTTAATCGAAAAAAATAAAAGTACAAGTAGTAAATTAAGAAATTTAAAATTAATTAATATAAAATAGAATACTATTTTTAGCTTTTTATAATTGATTGGCTAATCTCATCTATTTACACTTGAAATCATTATTTCTAACAAATATTTAATTTTAACTAAGCTCTAATATAATTATTATAAACTTATTTTAATTCTTAGATCATTTAAAATTTAAGAATAAATTTCTACCGAATTATAAAGTTTAGAACACGAAAAAAGTGATAAAATAATTTGAAACTAAATTTGATACTAATGTTAAATAGTTAACATTTTAAAAATTTGCCTAAAACTGTTGCTGTATTCTTTTTCTTTATAAGAGGGTTGAAATTAGGTCTTCAATGATTTTTACATATGAAAGTATTTGAAATCATAGCTACAAAATATTAACAAATATTATATTTAAGATCTAAATATCGTCTTAAAAGTACACTTGAGAGAAGGTAAGACTTCGAATTATTGAATAATATGGACGAGATAAATTATAAGAATATCAGGGAAGGATTTTTTTGTTTTAGTAAACTAAATGGAATATATTTTGAAGTACGATATTGGGATCTTCTTTTGGTTTAATTTAGAATTATAATTTGGGTAGAACAACCCATATAAAAATATATGAATATAAAGTTCTCTTTTTAACTATTTTCAGTGTGCTAAAGATTCTCTTCCCTCATTTGTTGGCTAAGAGCTAAGCATTATTGCCTAATTTTATTTTTCAAACAATGGTAGTTTAGCAGCTGGACAATCAATTTGATTAAAGGGTAAATCAATTATATGCATTGAGGATGGTAAACTTGGTGGTGGACTATCAATTATAATTAAGAAGGTAGCTCTTTTTGGTTTCGCTGTAGCACATCCCATTTAATGTATAATAATAATTGAATTAATATCTATCCAAGCAAATGAAATATTACATTGTAAATAATCATATTTGATTTTTTGATAAAATATTATAAATCGTCTGTTAGAATTTACTTAAATGTTCTAATTGTTAAGACCTATATCAGCTTAATCGCCTTCAAAAACAAGAAGTGCAATATCATCACACACTTAATCGAAGAGTCCTCATTATAATGAAATGTAATAAGGTAATTTCTTAATTTTATAAATGAGGTTCAACACACTAAAAATCATAGTAAAGTTTATGAAATTCTCATAATACGAGCAAATTTGAGAAGAGTATTGATTTGGATATGAAACTAAGTAATAGTTTTATAAACCCTGAATTCGAGATTAAAAAATTAATGAACTTAGTTGAATTGCAATAACATGAAATAAATAATTAGAAGCGTCGTTTCGAATAATCAGAGGCACGAGTATCTTATTAAACTAAAATTAGTGTATATCTTCAACTTCATCTAAAACAATAAAGGAATATGAAATCCATATAGATTAATTAACAAAAGAACTTAAAACCACATATCTATCAATAATGATTTAAGTAATGAATTGAAAGAGAAAGTCTAAAAATTACAAGAAGAATTAATAAGTCGTAATTAAGCAATTGAATTTTAGAAATAATGTAATTAGATAAAATTATTAATGAAATGAAATTTGGAGAAAAGACATTGATACAAACAATAGAAAATTATAATTTAGGTGTCAAGAATTATAGGATGAAAAAAAGAAGGAAATCAATAAAAAATTTAACAATTCGATTAGAAAATAAAACAACAAGAAAAGGAAAGTCTTATTCATGATATTAATAAAATGTAATATGAAATTGACAAATTAAACTAAAAAAGTTAAGAATCATAAAGTATTCTAATTTATTTATAGTTTAAGATCTGATTTAAGAATTATAAAATGAAATTCAATCATAAATAGAATAGAATTGCTATCATTAAGAAGTAGCATCAAAATACTACAAAAGATTTAATTGGATATTACTTCATAATAATTTAATGAAAATTCCGAATTGAATCAAGAATTATAAATTACTTTAGATAGTTTGAATAAGAATAATGAAAATAAATCTTAGTAATTAAGCAAATTTTAAATTGAATTAGAATAACTATAATATGAAAATGATATTACTGAACAAAACTAAGAAATTGAATAGTTAAATAATTAAATTGAATAACTTACTGAATTATTTGAGTAAAGATCAAATGAAATTGATGATGCTACATAATTTAGAGGAGAATTAGCATTAAAAAATAATGAAAAAAATGTATATTATTTAGTTTAATCATAGTTATTGATCTAAAGATTACAAAACAAGTTAGAATCTTAAAAGTAAAAATTATTTGAACTTCAAAAATAACATTAAATTTAAGGATAAGTAAAAGAGGAAATATGTAAATCACAATTCGAATAAATGAAAAGACAGATGGAATCAGAAATTGAATTATTGGAAACATAAAATAAAACCATATTGTATTAATTATAGATGAAATCAAGAGAAGAATGGAAGAAGTAGTATAGTAAAACTTTCTGATATTTATTTAAAATTACTTTTTAAATTTTATTAAAATAATACTAATTTATTTTCTTAACTTTTTTTTATTAAATTACTAGAATTTAATAAGTTAATCAAATGTTAAACTAAAACGTTTAAATTTTGTTGAAAAATTTCACTTTGAATAACATATAAATTAATATCTTAATTACTTTTATTATGGATTAAATAATATAATATTAAATTATTTATAATTCATTAATTAAAGCTTTCATCTATTTTGATGCAAGTTTATTCTAATAATCTTAGAATACTTTCGTGAGACTTTTCTTTTTGCTACCTTTCAGCCTGAATTTCTGTCTGAATCTTCTAATGTACCTCTTCAATCATAGAATATATTTTTTTCTCAGTTTCTTCTCTAACAGTCCTTTCTATAGACATCATTTCCTAAAACTTATTTAACTCTAGATCCATTTATTCTATTAAATGAGCCTAGGAATCAGATCTGATTAAAATATTTTAAATACCTTGTTTATTGTTCATTTTCAATTGTATATCTTAGATCTTTTAATTAATTACTTACATCTCCTATTTATCTATTCAACTTATCATAATATATTGAATTATTTTTTTCAAGCATTCCATGAACTGTATCAAATCTGTCTTCTATTTATTTTAAGAGCTACATTTCTACTCTTCTCTTATTCTAATTTAATTTTATAAATATCTTTACATTTTTTTCATCATCTAATTATTTATTAATTAATTCCTCAAATTGTTATAACTATTCTTAATAACGAACATTATGTTCTTTTCCAAATTTTTCATTATTAATTTGATCGCTCAGTTTTAAAATTTATTCTTTTAGTACCTAGTGAATTATTGTACATTATACTTTAAATCTATCTTCATCCTTAATTTTATCATAATTTAATAGGCTATCAATTTTTTAGAGAGATGCATCAATAATTTCTTTTTTTTCAAATTTATCTCTATCTATTCCTGCTTTTAATTATGTCCATTTATCTGCCAATGCTTACATTTTTTAGAATGATGGTGATTCAGATCTTACTTATGAATTGCTTATTATCTAAGATGTTGAAAACTTCATTTCTTCTAAATTTTTAAATTAAATTTTCCTTTTTATGGTTAGATTAATATTAAATAATCAAAATATATATTTTAAATACAATCTCAAAAAAATAGTATTCTGCCTATTTCTATACTTTATTTTACTAATCTACATTAATAATAATAAGCATTAAAATTAATAGAATTGTATTTTAAGTTAGATTATCCAGATAAATGAAAACCTAATTGATTTTGAATTTAATATTAATTTAATATCATTTTCTTAAAAACTAGTACTCAACTAATAAATTTAATTATTAAGATTCTTATTCAACATCTCTCTTTTTATTTATAATAATATAGAACTTCATTTTGCTCCTATTAAATTATATCTAATTTTTTAATAAGATAGCTATACTCAGTGATTATTTCCAAAAATGTATTATATTTTATTAAATCAATAATTTTTATTTTTTGAATTTGAATGATTAAGGGTAAAAACAATCATAGAAGAGCATAGTCTAATAATGATTTTCAATAAATAATAAGTTCTAAAATAACTGGAGTATCTGAGTAAAATTCTCATAAAAATTTACACAAAAATCAAAGCTTTGGTAATATGTTATTCCAAATTCCTGAATAGACTGATGTTGGCTCTTCAACAGAATAATCTCATCATTCTGAAAAGAAGAATTGTATAAATGATTAATTATAATCATCAAAGAAGAACTATTCATAAGATCAAAAAGAAAATCTAATAAATTCCAATTCTTGCACAAATATCATCTCATCAATTTAATACATGATTAAAAGTAGTCATCCAATAAAAGAAATAGCATAAAAAACATTAAATAATGATAGTTAAAGTAAAAAAAAGCATCTAAGTTTTACAAATGAATTGCAAAAGAAAAATAGCTAAATTCTCCATTAATCAAACAAAATAGATATCTCATCAAGTTTAACTCCAGAAAGAAAAAAAACTGATAATAACAATAGTAAATAAAACAGTTATAAATATAAATCTGATTAATAATAAATTGATGGTCAAGAAAAATAAAAAATAGAATTATCAAATTTCTTATTGAACAATTTATTAAAAGCGGACTAAAAAAAGAAATCAAATGTTGAATAATAAGACTCTTTTAGAAGGATGGAATTTCAAATGAATAAGATTTAGAAGGATATTTCTAAAATAAAAAAAAGGCAGGATGAATTGGATGTGTTCAATAGAAATATATAAAATCAACTATTTGATTTTATTTCGGAAAGTAGAAAATATTAGGATGTAAATTTGAATTTAAGATTTAGTATGGATATTAATCTCTCTAAAAACTCGAATAATTGGAATAGATAACAAGAAGGAATGAAGAATCAATAAAAATACTTAAATAAAAACTATTCAATAATGAAATTTAGTAGGTTACTACTACTAAAAATCATGAAAATAATATCAATTTTGGGTATAATAATTATGTTTATAATTTAGTAATATTTCTTCTTATAAACAAGAACTTGATATACAAAAAAAAATATCTGATTTTAAGTATATCAATAAATAATATAATTGAAACTTAATTCAATTTTGAATTTATAATTATAATAATTATATTACAATTAAGTTATCTTTATTATATAATCCTTTCTATTTAATAAATCTATATTTTATAAAATCTTAATTAAAACCAGCAATAATATTTAATTCATTTTTGAACTCTGCTTAAGAGAGTGTTAGATCTTAAATATTTGTTTTCTGAATCCTCAACAGATGTCTAAAATCTTCTATTCAAGTCATTAAAAAAACTATGATCTCTTTTTCTCTCTCCATTGATTTCTTTACCTACAAATTAACTAGATTTGGTAGAATGAGTTTTATTGGTATCTTAAAGGATTTGCTTTTTCAATATCATATATTCTTCTAATATATTTTTAAGCCATTTCCAACATTCTTTCAAACTATATAATTTAACTAAATTAATACCTTGGTTTAGCTTAAGCTTGACTCAAAGTACAATTCATCACCATATCAACTATACATTCAACGAATTTATTAATCTAATGTTAATCATATTGATTTAATTGAGGTGATTTTTCTCTCAAAACTACAGACTTGTATTATTTACTAATGTTTTCTTTAGAATTCTTTCTAGATAATTAGACCTATCAAAAATTATGTTATAAAATTACATCATTTTATAATTTATGAATATAAGATTCTTAGGATTGTATGTATTATTGTAGTTCATAAATTTTAGATTAATTTATTTATTCTTGTTCTTCATATTTTAATTTTTATTACTAAAAATAAATTATTTTTAAATTACTTCATTTATTTATTCAGCTACTTTTTATTGATGTTGCTATTAAAATAACTTTTATTCATATTCAAATATTTTAGTTTTTAAAGTAGAATTTTCTTTCTCTAATTATCCAAGACTTTTCAAACTCTTATGATATTATTATTCTGATTAATTAATTTGCAATTCTAGATCTTCTATTTTTTATAGGTGTCTTTTTGAAGCTGAATCTCTTTGCAATTAATTCATTGATTAATCTTCACTAATATTCAGATGAAATTTACATCATCATTTGCTAATTCAACTTCAATTTCTCATTCTATTCTTACAACCATACTTAATAGTGCTCTAATTCTTATATTCTTTTATCCTTTTCTCTCAAGATTAATAATAATTATTTATTTTCTAGGCCTTATACATCGTCAATTTGAACTTGATTGCATTTTTTAATGAACACATTTCCTTGATCTTTCTTTGTCTCACAATAACTCTAAAGAGTTTAATAATTAATATCATACTCCTTGATCATTTGAGAATTTACTATAACTACATAATACATCTTCATCCGTTGTTAATCTAATTTATTTATCCCATGAATATTAACTGATAGACAAAAGCAGAGCCTAACTTAATTCTTGCTTCTCTGGAGTTTTTTGCATACTTATAATATTTATATTTGAAAATTTAATAATTATTAACGTTTATCATTTACTAAATCTATAGAGAATTTCATAAATCGATAATCTTGAGACTAATTAACCCTTATTTTTTTTAAAGTCTTATTGAAAAACTTTTGAAAAATCATCAAATTTGGTTCATTAAATCTGAATTTAAAAAGTATTTGGAAAACAAATAGGTTATTTTTATTATTTTTAAATAATCTATTTTATTCTAGTTTTGCTTCTTCGATAATCTTAATTTATTTATAAAATCATCAAAATTACAATTTACTCTACTATCTCTTATAATCCCATTTAGATATATCTGAATCCCAAATTTTTACATCAATTTTTATTATTAAATTTATATCTCCTATTAGATTTCATATATAAAATATTAAATTTATAATATTCTAAAAAACTGGTAGGATTGAGAAATTATAAATTTTTCCTAGTCTTCTTTAGATGCTTCTTAGAATTTTATTTATAATAAATCATCAGTGATAAGCATCATGCAAAAATGATCAGCCTTGTAAGACTTCACTTTTATTATATTCTAATATTAGCTCCATTGGGCCAATTTTTGAACACTTTCATTATTATTTATTGATATCATTCATTATTTCTATTATTTTGATTAAATTTTTATTATTAAAATATAAGAAATGTTTATATAATTTCAATGATAAATTCTACCTTAATTATAACTTAATTCCACTCAACAGATATATTGATTGAAGTTTTAATTTATGGGGACACTTAATAAATGTGATTATTGTGACCTTCAATTTTATGAAATAATCTTACGTTTAAACTACATAATAAATAAATTTGTTAATAAAGAATAATTCTATTCTGAATTTGATAATTCCTTATATCTTTTTCTTTTTTTTTTAAATTTTCTGTGTCCTTCCTTAATTTATTTAGTTAGAATTTATAGGGTACCATTATGATTATGGTAAACATTTTTTATGTTAATCATAAGTTGCTTTCATTAATAACATCAGGAAATAGA